GTGTGTGTGTGTGTGTGTGTGTGTTTCTTTGCTTGCAACTGAAGCACTAGCTGAAGCAGCTGACATCACTGTAGCAGCACACAGGAGCTGGAGGGCCAAGCAGGCCGGCTTTCAGCCAGGCTACCTTTCTTACCCTCTCCTAGGAGTGGGAAATACTGTCATTAATCTTCTTTTCAGCTGGAGGGGGGCAGAATAAACAGTGGTGGTTGAGGAAAGAAGAGTCACATGTTAGCCGGAAAAACCAACACCAAACAAGTTAGTCTCATGGAACAAGGCAGTGCTGATAAAATAAAACAGTCTGCTAGCCAAACCTCTTTAGATTCAGTCCGTTGGTATCGGATAATTTGAAAGAAATATGGCATAATAACGCAAAAGCCTACTGTGTCATGCATGATGTCCTACACGTGATCACAGTCAGGACTGTACTGCAAGCGTGTCAACATATTTTACACACAAACATATTGACACTCAATGCAACTTTCTCAGCTCCAGGCAAAGAGGTTTGGCTGACTCCTATCACCAGACACCTGATAGGAGTCTTCTCAACACAAACAACCAGTGACGGCCCGAGTTAGTCATCAGTAGTCATAGTTGAGGGTGGGGTGGGATGACAGAAATCATGCTGCATGCACATGGAGGTAGTGGTAGTGGGTTGCGAGGGAGGGTGGGGGGTTCAAAATGCGTATGAGAGAAACCTGGTCAACCTTGGCATTAAAGGGGAAGGGCTAGCAGTTGGCGTCGTCACAGAGGTTGGCTTCACAGAAGAAACGTGAGCCGCGTTTAGCAGTGCGGGCCGTGAAGGGCACGCTCTTCAGTACTGGGGGGAGGAGGCAGAGGAAGAGAAAACATGTCACACCTGAAACACTGCCCTAAGGGGGAGGGGCAAACCTTGTGAAAGCCTAACGTTCTTAATAAGGTTAAGGACATGTCCTGAAAGCCGTCCACTGGATAAAACACAGTTAGAGCTCTGATAGTAGTGACACACAATTATTCCTATTATTAACACTAAAGTATAATGAAGCAACATTCATATTATTTACACTTTAGACAGTTATTAATGATCATCACAAAAACATCAGTTAGGTTATGTGCTACGCTGAGGCTGTAGATGCAGGGTTTTCTCCCAATAAAGGCTTAAAATACGTAGGTGTGGTGTAAGATGATTTAACTTTGGCATCTCCAAAAATTAAATGTAGGAAACGAAATTGCACACTGCCCAATCACTGTCCGCTCTTTGCAAACAGAATATTCTGCTATTCTGCTCGTGTGCAGTTTATATCCATGTCTGTCCAGACTGGTATAGTACGAGCAGTGAAGACAGGCACCTACCTACCTCCCAATCTCCACTTCTGTCTTACGACATTCAAACAGTGGGCAAAAAAGTATGTTTGCCCAACATTATAATGTTGCTCAATCACAGCTAAGTTAACCTTTTGATCTTTTGGATACAACATGTCATCATTTTATCATTTTTCCTCCAATTTTGTCATAGTTAGACTTTAGTTTTGAGCAAAAATTTCGTTATGAGGTCACGGCGATCTTTGAAATTATAGTACAAGTGACTTTTTTGTGCCAGATTAGAAGAAATTAAAGAGGTATGGAGGTATAGAAAGCCAAAAACATGATCCCTCCAGGAACAGCTGCTTGAGGCTGTCGTGGATCCTAATTATTAGTACCTCAATTTACTTCTTGAGACCTGGCCTTTCTGAAAAAACACACACTTTGACACCCAGCAGCATTTCCCCTAACAGACTAGACAGCATGGCATGGAACAACGCTTGCTATTTGCTGTGCTCCAGATGTGCTGGTGTCTGAAGCACGTAGCACAAGGTGCACTTCAAAGGAGCTGAGCAGTCGATGACCACAGTCATCCTCAGCCTGGGAACACCGGGGCTGCTGGCACGCACATGGGTTCTTTTAACAGTCCTGTCTGGCCCACCTGTGATAATGTCTTCAATAGTGCCATCCTTGCCCTCGTACACAGGCCGGTGGTCTTTGGCTTGCCGCCTGCGCAGCTCTGCGATCAGCTCCTGCTGCTGGTGCCTCTTCTTCTGGGCCTGAACCTGAACCAGTGGAAAGGATATTTGTTCGTTTTCACTGTGATTCTTGGCCTACGAAAAAGCTTTATTTAGCACTGAGTAAATACGTGATAGAGTTCATCCAGCGGGGCTGCACCTTAGGGTCATGCTGCTTCGCCTCCTGAGCCAGTAACTTTTCTCTCATTGCTTCCTCTTGCTTTTTCCTCTGTTCATTTTCTTCCACTGCATCCTGTTGAGAAGAGAAATAGATGACACATCTGTGACAAGAAACTTCAGTGGAAATAAATCCAACAACGTGCTTTTGTGTGGCCATGTGAAGCAAAGAAAAAACAGTTGAAAAGCTGGGCATAAACAGGAAAGCCACGCTTTACTAAACATGACCAGGACCACGCACGCGCTTAAATGAACAGTTTGACATACGGAGAAAGATAAACAAAGGGATCAATAAGTATGGTAAATATGACACTTTAGATAATTATAAATCAGCCAAGCTGGGCAGAAATATTAAAAACAAGGCAACAGCTTCCCTGACTTGAATCAAAATGAACAAAATCTGACAATGTGTTTTGTTTTGTTTTTTTTTAAACCAGATAATGTGAGCTGATCTGCTGTGGATGACAGAAACAATAGTTTCTCTCCAAGAACACAAAGAATCTCAGCGATAACTTGTTCCTAGGCCACTAAGAAAAAGCAGGTGATTTCACAGTTAGCAACAAATTATTTAAAGATACTCTTTCTTCTTTAACGTCTTTAACTGACTGACAGTAAGCTCTACAGGACACAGAACATTTTCAGCCCATTTTCTTCCAGTTTTTCTCGTGTTAATTTGAAGTTTGGGCTTGAAATTGTAACCTTCTCTTTCTCGTTAGTTTGTTTAGTATTGTGGCTTTACGGCAACTCCTGGCTGTTCTGTTTATTTTGGCTCTCACTTAAGTTAAATTAAAGCTTCTATGTCTGACAATAAGAGGCCTTAAAAACTGTAGAAAACTATATTCTATTACTCGAGGCAACAAGTGTTTGTTAAACAGTTCCTTTAGAGCACATGCGCACACTCAAACAGACACATGAAATCCTTGTGTTGCACATTTCCTTGAGCAGATCCCATAAATCTAGATGGAGAACAATCTCAGGATGCGTGCTGTGTGTTGGGGCAGGGCGAGGCAGTCCGGAGGTAAAGGGGGGGGGGGACGAGTCTAAACACCACAGCTGCAGCTTCTAAAGTCAGACCCAGCTGGCCTTTCCTGTTATTTGGCCTGGGAGTATACGCCACGTCCTGTGCCACAAAAGCAGCCAAAGCTCTGCCCCGCTCTGCTCTCAGCAAGGCTGACAGCAAACCAGGGAACTTCCCAAATGACCAGCTGAGGAAGTGAGGAAAGCTACAGAGATGTAGCTTCTGCTTGGCGTCCTCACCTTGTACGCCTTGATGAAGCGCACGAACACAGGGAAGAACACGGAGGGTGGAGCCGTCTTGGCACTTTCTCCAAAGTAGCTCACCACACTGTTAAAGGCTTCCTGGAATTGGGAAAGAGAATGTTTGTAAACACTGTCGAGTTAGTGGCTGCGCATCAGATGTCAGTGAGATGAATGAACGAGAAAGGTTTCATTTTCATTTGTTCCAGCGGATAATTTGAGGTTTTGGAGGTGAAGACGCTGTCGGATACCTCTGCCATCTTGGCGTCCTTCTGTAGCTTGTCCAGCTGTGAGTCACTAGCCTGGACAAAACCTTTCAGGACTGAGTGGTCGTGGAGACTGCACTCTCTCCGGATGAGGTCCATGCCTTTCCCCAGCTCTCGAACATCCAGTAGGACATTTTCCAGAGACACTTTGCACGCAGACATCAGAGCATATTTTAAGTATATTACGTAGCGTTTTATCCAGATGTTAACACCTGACCTTTCTGTGAAAATACTGCGTCTCCACGAGGTTGCTGACAGAGTTTGGTGCACGCTCACCTGCTGCAGCTTTGTCCACAAAGTGCAATTCATTGTAGAAGTTGGTCAGTTCAGGGTACTTCTCTTTCACAATAAGAGCTATGTAGTGGAGCAATGTCATCTTTCTGTCTGTAGACTTAGTGTCCAGAAGCTGTGTAAAAAACATTGTTAGGAAAAGCAATTTAATAATAAACTCTGCAGCACACTTTTGTGCTGACTGGAATTCCAGTAAACTTCACTACTGATTACTCACCAGATCAAGGCTTTGTAATTTGAAACCATAAACGCAGCCTCGTTTGCTGCTGTTCATGTAGTTTCCTAGGGCTAAGATGATCTACGAGTAAACCAAAAGCACCGAGTGAATATATGCATTAAAAAATACAAACGCTGCTGCTGTGAAAGTCAACAAACACATCTCACTTCAAGCATCCTCTTGAGCTTTGGTGCCGACTTGATTGAGCCAGAAGCAGCAATGATGGCGTTGAGCTGTGGCGTGAGCATGCTCACGTTGTCGGCAAAGTTTCCAACAAAGGTGATAATGTTCATTCTCTGCGTCAGCCTCTCGATCTTGCTGAATAACAACATGAAGCGATCCTCCTCTGCTAACTGATCCAGCGGACGCCGCTCGCGCTCGTACTGACGCATCACCTTCACTTCTGCCTCGGTGGGCAGGAAACGCATCAGGCACTCCACAAAGTCGACAGGTAAGGCCTTGAGGTCAAACCTGAGTGAAGATAACACGTTACCTGTAACTTGTTCCACAGAAAATTATGTAAGTATGTAAAGTTTACGTAAAAGACAGGTGCATACTTCTCTATGGCTTTGCAGATCTCTTCTGTTGTCTTGTTAGCCTTTCGCAGTGTGATGGCTAAGTTCTTGGAGCGATTGGCGTCCAGAAGTGTGACTCTGTTTGCCACCTTATTGGCTACTTTGCTCTTTGTGCAGGAAAGATCCACAACTGGACCCTGGGCTCTCGTCTTAAATAGCTCCTCAAACCTCTCCAGCTCCAGCTCCTGCATGTGAATAACAACTCAACTTTTACTTGCTCTAAATTGATGTTAAAAGTCCTGAACACATAAGTGTTATGGTGTTGGTATGAAGCTGGTTATTTCGCGACACACTGCTCTTATCATTTAAGTTTAGTTTTGCTTTACTTTTTCCTCTTATTAAGGTTTGAACTCAACTGGAAGAGACTAGAGAAACCTGAGCTTTTGACTATGGAAAAGTTTTACTGAGATTAATACTAATTTACCATAAATTCAAATTTGACACATATTAACCAAGACCTACATCTTAACATGAAAGAGGTTTTATCTTCTTGATTTACCTCTAGCACACGTTCATCATCGATCTCGTTGAAGACTGTGCCATTGATCTGATTGGGCTTCAAGGCCGTCCAGTTAAACACAGGCAAGCGGAACTTGGTCTTTATAGGCTTCTTGATCCTGATAGCTGTGGTGAAGAAAGTGTTCGTTGAATTCAGAATGAACGGTACTTATATACCACTTTTCAACGCGAAGCTTTATTCAGCCACTCACACACATTCATACAACCATCTTTTTCTATGGCTAAGTGATTTTCGCCTATCGTTCACACACTTATACTCCGACGGATGCATCTTAGAGTTCTGGACACTTCAGCGCACAGACTAGAGGAGCCAGGGATCAACCTACCGACCTTCAGATTAGTAATCCACTCTACCTCCTGCCACCCACAATCCTCTGATCTAGTCAACCTTGAACATCAAAATCGAAGGCAAAGACAACCAAGTTTAATTTTGTGTGCACGCTCACCTGACAGACCTACGCTCAAGATGACAGAGGGGGAAGCTTCTGGCAGAGGAGGAGCAAGGGGAGGAGGTGGTGGTGGTGGGACTGGCGCAGTGTGTCCTGTAATTAATGCAGAAGAGTATTTTTATTGCATGTTTAGCAACAGCTTCGTGTTCTACGTGAGCTGCCACCTCGGCCTGACAATCGCTGAAAACTGATTTTTAAAGTTAGTGAAACCTGATAAAGTCTAGTTTGGATAAAAGGCTGGAAAGTGCTCCAACAGTCAGTGCGGCCTTTCCGGAGACAAAGGAAACCAGCCTTATGTTTCCCTTTCCTGTCTGGCTTAGAAGAACACTGCTGTGACCCATCACTTGGTTTGGCACGAATGAACAAATATAGGGAACTGAAAATAAATCTGCTCTGAGGGTCCACAGATGAGAAAGTCAACTTTCACATACATATACATGAATCACTAGACTGCGAGTCACAGTGTTGTCATCACCTGAAGCAGATGGCAGGGGAGGGGGAGGGGGAGGAGGCGGTGGAGGCGGAGGTGCTTCGCTGGCTGGTGGTAAACTTGTGTCGGGTCCTCCTAGTTCTGTCAGCCCTGCCGTTGAACCCAAAGACAGCTTTCCGATGTTTCCCAAGGGTATCCCGGCACTGCCGACGCCCAGCGGCTCGATGGCGATGTCTCCATCAGGTTTCTTGTGCAAGCGGATGGTGCCCTGCTGTTCGAGCTCCAGCAGACGCTTCTCAATGTTGAAGTGCCTCTGAAATGCAGCATCCTTCTCCTTGATCATCCTCCTCAGGGTGTTAACCTGAGTGCTGGTTGACTCGTTTGTCTCCTGAGCAGTCACCAGGGGGTGATAAAGAGCATAATGCACAGTGACTCCACAAGCTAAACAAACATCCTGTCTCTTTGTGACCTAATTTGCTAATACAGCAATTTAGCCACAAGCATATGAACCTGATCTCTGCTAACAGGCACGGAATCTGAAGCCTTTATGATGCGAGGAGAGCAAGAAATATCACGTCGATAGGACTGTGGCTTACCCGTATTACGTTCAGCTCCTTATCTTTCTGAATGAGCAGCTTCTCCAGATCGGCTACTTTCATCATTGTTTCATTCTCAACCTCCAGAAGCTTCTCAGTCACCTAGAAGAGAAGATGGAGCAACACTGAGATGAGAGAAGGAAAGAATTGATCCACACAGTGGGCATCTTTCCCAGCTCCACTTCCCCATCCCTCCTCCCCATACACTGCATCATCACTAAGAAATAAGATACAGCGAGCAGCATGATGCAGCAATAACATGACACAGCTCTCAGTTTTGATTTTACATTACACATCTTTGCTTAGGAATTCAGAGAGAATCTTCACCCTCTTCCTCCCCCATCATTTCTGACCTCTGAGAGCAGAGTTTGTTTTCAAATTCCAAGAATGATGTCAGGGGCTGCCTACGACCTTTCCATGTGAAGAAGGTCTTTGCAAAGCAGCGTGGGATACAAAGGCAATAGCCCAGAAAGACCGAGCCAACACGAGAACAATAATAAGATTGTTTCACGCACTCCATTTTCCAGCATTCCCCACCCAATTATTATCCTGAACCACTTGTGAAGTGCAAACACCGAGTAGATTTCTAATTGCCATGTAGAAACAGCCAACTTAAGTACATAGCTGGTGAACCACAACAATCTCATAAATGTGTATAGAGAGCAGTGTTGGTGGTCCAGACTGGGTGGTGCACTTACGTGGGACAGGTGCTCCTCCAGTTCCTCCACCTTCTCCAGCGCTGCATTCTTGGTTTCGGCATCTTCTAGCAGGCCACCCACATCAAATACGTTATCAAGGTAAGCCTGGATCTGAACCGACAGCTTGTCGCTCTCCGTGTGTTTAGATTTCTGGCACGAGAGAGAATAAATTCAACATTAGTGACACTCCGCGAATAGTCTCCACGTGGACAATGAGAGCGATTGGCCCAGTTTAAGCACAACATTATTTCTTTACCTCCAGGAAGTCATCTAGTCCCAGTTTGGTGAATTCATACTGCAGATGCACTCTGAAGTTCATGTCTTCAACTGAGTGGACCACAATGTTGATGAACTGCATGCAAGCAACCTGGAGAACAAATGCAAACACCAGCTCATTAATATTCTTTATATACTTGATACGTATAATCTGTATCAGGATATTTTATCTTAAAACTGACATATAGTCCACTGGATTTTGCATTTGCACCTTGTATAAAAGTGTGTTTTCCTTTATGCAGATAATAATAAAAAATACCTTTGGCATTTGAGCCAGACATTTTTATTTGTACTGATGGATGTACTCTCACACAAAAAAGACACATCTGTATGTAACTAAACGCTTGTCTTACCATGAAGTCAATGTTTCCCTCTTCACTGCGGAAGTAATCCATCAGTCTCTCGAAGCGATGCTTCTCTTTGCAAACCTGAAACATACGAGGTGAAGCAAAATAAAGATTTTTTTCTCTGGTTTACAAAGTAGAACAAAAACTTTGTCCGATGTAGACAAAAAATAAGAGACCCGAGAAAGGACGTTTTTATTGAATGTCAAAGTGGTACCTTAGGGAAATATTACCTATATTTATCACCTAAAATCAACCATACTACATGTTTTTTTTTGTCCATGGCACTTTACAAATTATTTATTTATTAATTAAGAAAAAAATCATGCCTTTGGAGCAAACCACAATGCTGAGGTGTTCATGAAGTATGCAGCAAAATCAATGAAGCCAATGGCTTCATAATGTTGTGCTGTGGACATAACAAATATCTGATAAACTGCTGCTTTCACTGATGTGTTACAGCTCTATCAACAAAAGCATAATCAGGGTAAATCAACTATTTCTTTTATTCTGTTTTTCTACTTGCAAACAACATAATCTCACTGTTTGACTTACGTTGTTTCTTAAGTTGATGAAATAAAAATCCTTTTCCTTGCACACAAACACTGTAGCTGTGGATCTAAAATTTGACGACCAGTACAGCTGCTATGATTTTTCTCTGAGCTTTATAGAACAGCATTCTCTTATTTGGCACCTCAGTCATAGAATAACAGTCAGAGCACATTACAGCTGAATGCTTTTTTTTCTTGGGAGAGTTCAGAGCTCTCATAAAGACTTCTGCAAATGAACAGCAACTGCTATCGATCTTGGCCAGGTCCACCTTGACAAAGAGATGTTAATCTCAAGAGAATTCCTGGTTAAATAAAGGTTGAATAAATGAAATGAATAAAAACATAGAATGAATAGCAAACGTGACCTTCTCCCTGTGAGATCTCAGACACCTGTCACTTTGTGTTAATGCATCATTTTGGAAAAACAGCAGTACTATGTTGTTTCCACTAGAGAGTTGATTAGCTCTTGGGTCTCGCTGAGGCTTTGGACTGTAAGGCATTTTGTCTGGTTCCGGAGTTTAGGTGACTGTACGAGCAAAAAGCAAAAAGGCTAAGCAAATCTTTCTGGTTCACTGGCTCCCACTGGGAAGTGATCCTCTGATTATTGTTCAAGGTTACTTAACATCTGATGTCTTAATGAGTCCAATAATCTCAGACACGCCACCATAGAGCTTTGCTTGCAACCTCAGATAGATAAAATCTCTCAGAGCTTCTCAGTTTTCGGCCCGCTACACTTGACCTTTATGCCTTTATGCACGCCAGTGATGTGGGAAATTAGGGCAATTATATTGATGTTACTTAAATTTTGATTAGTATATTCAGACATAGCTAGGCCAGCGATATGTTACAACTTAATCCTGAACATAACAACTTGAGAGCTTGTTAAAAATTCATTAAAAAGTTGCAATAGGCACCTCTTTGAAGTTGTCAAATGCTGAAAGGATGATCTCATGACCTCCTCGGACAAGACAAACAGCAGCCAGCAGCTCAAGGACCAAAGCTTTTGTCCTGAAAATGCACCAAACTTTCATCAATACAACTACATTTTTTTAAAAAGTACAGTTTTATATGTTCTATCACAAAATTCAAGCATCCTCAAAATTGGTGTGGATATTAACATACAGGGCCCAAAAGTCATAATCTGCATTAATGTCTGAAGCTTTGGTGGGTGTTTCCATGGTTTTTACGTGTTTACCCTCATAGACTTTATTATGAAGTAATCAGTCTCAGTGGTTTACCACAAATCTCCCTTTAGAAAACATTCCCTTAACGACCCGTGTATACACCTCTGATCCTCGACTTCAGAGAGAAGCAGAGGCCCACGGAGAAGCATATCGTATGAATTGGCTGCAGGGTTTCCCCTTTTGTTTGGCCCGGCCCTGCTTTTATGGAGGAGGGGTCCTGAGTTCTTACCGTGGGTTCTTATTGTTCAAGCTGAGAGCAATTTCATTGACTGCATGTGCATGAGACATGACCATATTGAAACCGTACTGCATGGAGAGAGACAGAGAGACAGAGAGGATGTGGTCAGAAAACCTGCATAAAGGTTCAGCACTTGACTGCACAGGAAGCATATCATGCTCCAAGTTTATGAGACATATCTGATTGTGGGTCGTAGGTGGTTCCTGGTACCTGGTAGTTCATGATTGCTCTCAGGCACATGATGCACACATGCACATCATCCTTTTGACTCACGAGGCGGGAGTTCTTGATGGTTTTGCTATTCGCGACTGAGCCGTAGCTGCAACAGATTCAGCACATTAAAGCAAATTCAGCAATGAAATTCATGTTCTGGCTACTATTCTGTTAGTCAAACAGAGCTCTGAAGTGTATCTACTATTTTCTATGATTTTTGTTTTAAGTGTGTCGCAGCGAGAGACAGAAAGAGAAAATTACAGAGAATGAGGTCTGACAGAAAAAAACTTAGATGGCTTTTGAGGTTACAGATGCATTATGGGAAATGCCTGGTTTCCTTGTTGCTGTTAACAGACCGAATTCTGTTCACAGACTGCTATTATGTAACTGTATTGCACAGTCATTTCATGGTAACTGTTCGGGTAAGGTTTATGATCGGGATAACCATACATCAAGAATATGTTTTTTTTTCATACTTTGTTACAAATGTGGGCGGAAAAACTTTTTATACCTTCTACCAATAACAGTTCAGCAGTAATTTATCTGACAATATATTTATATAATATTTATAAGTCTAGAGTCTGTCCTTGTGGACTATTTTTGTGCACCCTTATATAATATCTGTTTTTCCGATCAGACTTTACACCCTATCTGTCTTTAAGTCATGTCTCTACAGTGGTGAAGAGGAGAATCACAACTGTCCAACATATGTTGCTGCTCACAGCTGGATCTCATCTGTGGACAGTGCAGATGCACATCTGGGCAGATGAAGGAGAACGGTTAACAAAGAGAGACAGATAGCACTAAAGGTCAGAGACTTTTTAACAAACCAGGACTAAGACAATGGGCTTGCATGCAAATATAGCATTCAAGGTTAGCAGAGCAAGGCAGTAACAGAGGAAGCTAATAGCGGGAAGCTTGCTTAGCAATACGTACCGAAGAACAGACTGGCGGGCAGAGCGCACCAGAGTGTTGCAGAAGGGTTGGGCGTTCGTATGGTGCAGATCCTCTATGGACCTGCTCCAAGATTTAGACTTGTCCAAGAAGCTATCCTCCCAATTTTCCAGCCCCTCAAAATCCAACCTGGGCCATAGACAAACAGAGAAGCCAACACAGAGGCACAGGGGTGTAGATGAGAGGCATGGGGGAGGTTAGGTTTGCAAGGCAGCTTAGTAGAGAGCCAGGCATTATCACAAGAACTGTCATCAAGCTGCACGATAAAGCTCAGCACACAGATTCTGTCCCAAAGTATAGCTCAGCACTCAACCAGGTAGCATCCGTCCAGAAATGCATTCACGTTACAAAGTATGCAACAAGACACAGGAAATACATCCAATGAATGCAATGTACTAATATCACAGGCTCTAAAAGACTCAGCAGCTGGATTCACAGCCCAACCCAGTTCCTAAGGAAAGGTTTGGTCAAGAGGTGTGTGTGTGTGTGTGTGTGTGTGTGTGTGTGTGTGTGTGTGTGTGTGTGTGTGTACTTACATGACTGCACACTGAGCAAAGGAGAGGTATTCAACAAGGACATCAAGACCTCTGTTTTCATCATTGAGGAACTCCCTGACCCACCTGTGACGCATGAAAGCAGAGAGAGGTTAGCGGGGCGCCAGATCCAGAGCACACCCTTATCCTTTCGGACAGCCCGTTACCGACTAACAGAGAGAGAGAGACATAAAGAAAACTAGGATTCTTCTTATTCTGAAGCCTTCTCATAAATCCTTTTGTACTTAAAGAACTGGTTTAGAACAACTCAGGTCTAGTTTTGGCTTTTCTGCTGATCAATTGTAATACCAGTTATTTGTCCTTTTGGGTTTGCTTTGTTTTGCTTTTCTTTTTTAATTTATAAAAAGAACAAATAATAACTGAAATAAGCACAGCTAGCAGAGCACGTGACAGAAGAATGAACTTTAAAATGCTGAGGGAACATTTATCACTGTACTGTGTGACGTGGAATCACAATAGCAACTGATAAAACAGATGTGTACAGATGTATATAAGGAAAGGCTGTGTGATAATGTGTAACTAGATGTAGAGCCCCAGTACTTCTCTCAACCGCAACGAATATCAATGAGTTTTTAAGCAACTGTTCTAATAAATTAATAAATTACATAAGTGAAAGGAAGATTCTTTATATTGTCTTTCTTTTTCTTATTGCTATTTATTCTTTAGTGGATCTCTTTATTGTAGCTTTAAATGTAATTGTAAATCATGGATAGACTAGCAGGCAGGTTTAAACAAATTATTCATACACTGGTTCAACTTTGGCTGAACTTTTCATAGTTGTTATTTAAGTAATGCTGGAAGTTTTTAGAGGCATTTAAGCTTTCATATTCCGCTTCATTCACATCCAGCTGAATTTTCGGACACATCATGCTCCCTGTTCATCTGATTTGTAGTTATACAGATCTACCATATATCCAGGTAATGATACTTCGGTAACTATTATAGGCAACATAACTACAAAAAAATGAGACGAAAGTTGTAATAAATGAGAATTATTTGGGATGACGGCTCTTCAATAGCTCTAAAAGAAAGTGGAAAAAATTCCATGGAAAGTAAAGCAGAGCAAGGCTTCAGTTTTCCTCACTCCAGTTTTCTCCAAACAAAGGAATTCCCATTGCAGCTAGAGAAAGAATGTGGAGGGCATATGGCTAAGAGAGCTGGGCTCAGGAAGAACCCCTGACACTCAACAGTATTTAGTCTGCCTCCCCCACAGACCCCTTTACCTCCTCCCCATATTTTGAGGGAACTCCAGGGGGAGATGGATTGAGGTAAAAGGTTCTTAAAATAGTCTTGAAATGATGGCTGTGATGACAGATTGCTGGTCAGCCAATGGCAAGTTAGGCAGGAAACCAATCAGGACCCTGACAGCGGAGGGAAGGAGGAAGAGGGAAAAGGAAGAGAGGTGAGCAGAGGAGCAGAGGAAAGCGAACAAAGCAACTAGACCGGGTCCAGGAGGGAGGAGGGGGGACGAGGAGGTGGGCTTGATCATCAGCTTCCTGCCCCCCTTCCCTCGTTGCTGTGAACCCTCACTCTTTCCTCCCTGTACTTCTCTCCAACCAGTTGCTATTTCAGATTTTCTTGGCAATCTCAGGAATAACACACCAGACAGGGCTGAGGATTCAGACACACAATAAACCGGCATCTGTTACACTTAATCCCACCCACAAAAGTCTTCTGAAAATAGATCTCCTTTTCCTTTGCCTGTGAGCCTTTCTGGAAACTGCATTGAAAAGAAAAAGTCCTTTATTGATGAAGGCAAATTGTATAAGAGTTATTCACGTGGCTCAATGAAGTCCATAAAAAATGAAGGCATGTTTTACTTTGGTTCACGGATTAAGTGGCAAGTCACTGCAGCACCTCCATGACTACGGATTACAAAGATATTGTCTGCGACACTGAAGGCTACGAATCGATAAAATAGCATCCATGTGTGTGATGGATGAGGAGGAAAATGTACTGCTTTTGAGTCTGCAATGCAAAAATGTGGTTTGCTTTACTATGCGAGACTTCTGTAAACATACATGTATCCTTGTGTTTGTTCTTGTGCTTTTCACTGGGTGCAGCAATGGTCAGCCGGGCTTCCTGTCCCTCTGGCATACAACAAAGCTTCCTGCTGCCTTCTATGGGGGAGTGGACAAGGCCACACAATGGCTACCATCTGGGCATTATGAGCACCAGCTCTATGAAGTGGAGCTGCAGAGCTTGGCAGTTGGAACAATAGGAGGGGGGAATCTGGGCACCAGAAAAAGCTCTGGGTCCCTGCAGCAGCAGCAGCAGCAGCAGCAGGGACACACAATAGAATATTCTTTACTGGGCAAAACAATAATGTGGTTTCCTTGAGCTTTAGATGAATAGACCTGCATAATTCACCAGAAAAATAGAAGCTAAGACATGATTACCCAATGTGATTTGTCCTCAGTGAAATCTCCAGTTCCCTCAGGACTTTTGTAGATTCCTGCACACGCCTGCGAAACTTCTGTAAGACACGACGAATGCTGGTTATTACAGGTTACATTGAAGCTGTGCTTTCTAGGCAGTTTTCATGAGAACTTTTCAGTTCCTCAAAAACAACAATAATCCTACTCAGCAGGTTTAGTGTTGCCCTCATCTTCAGGCTGAACTGTAAAATAGAGGATGAATAAAGGAGAACCAGAGAAGTCAAACACCCTGCAACCTGACCAATGAACTTCTGATACTTTAAGCTGGTAACAGCTGATAATGCCTCAAGCAGAGATAAGGAGAAGGTGCATCAGAGCTGTCACAGAAGTTGTGTGTGTAACCTGTAAGTAGACTTTGACACGCATCAATCAGCCGGGTTCTACTTTATGATTTTTGTACGGTCCCACCTTTCGTGTTACTCCAGGATCTAAGTACCCGCGAAGCTTCTGGATGTAGGTGTGAGGAGGATTCTTCACCTGAAACCTCTCCTGAAGATACACAAAAGAGCGGCGTGATGTAAGTTGCTGCAGTCAGCCACACCAAAATGTGGACAGGTGTGTGTAGTCTTACAGCAGGTTTACTAATTAATGATACAAAGTTCACAAATTCACCTGGTCGCAGATCAGGTCCCACTTCTTCTCATTGTCATACTGTCTGAGGAGCCGGGCTTTGTCTGGAGGCAGGTTCATAGAGTTCTGGGAAACAGAAAAAAACAAATAATGTAAGCATTCGTTTCATTCATAGTGTCTTTATGAGACTCTGGCGCCATCAGCAAACTGATGACAAAGTTTTCAAGACTTATACCGTGACCTCACTTCCTGTGTTGACATTTGGCATCCTGTTGAAGGAGACGACGTGCATCTCCTTCTCACTCTTTGGTCTCAGTATTGTTCAGGCAGCACATTTCTTCATAACACAACATGCTGCTATCAGGGTACCGGCCTATTACCGGACCTGTCATCAGACTTGTTATGTAAACCAGCAACACTTGAATGCCACACAAGATGACCTGATGCAGCCGTTTTTCTGGGCTCAATTTAAACCCCATATTATGTAATCTGTATTTAGAAACTAAGCACAAATTTAGGATCTCATGTCCTCATGACCGCTTTAAAAAAATAACGCAAGCTGAATGACACTAGTGTTTGACTAATTACTTCCTCCAATGACACAAATGCTTATAAACAGAGGTTGACATGGAAATCTTAGATAGGAGGAAGTGCAACAATAAGGAGCAAACTAGTCACTGAAACCGACTGCCTCACTGATTCTCTTTGAAGAAATGTGCGATTGTTTTTGCACTCAGACCCCTCATTTCCAACAGTGTCAACAGTATCCCAAAGCTCAGCCACAAATGGCCCGTCAGCTTGACTTTTAACCTGCAGCTATAACTCAGACTGCTGTCTAAAATGCAACAGCTTGCCTTTTTAACCCATCCCACCAGGCCAGATGTGATGTTCACGCTGGCATGTTCCAGTGTGGAAAACAACACATACTTGTTTCTATGGTAGCAACTCAGTCACCAGAAGTGGTGGAAATATCGCACGAGAATATATTAAAATGACTTTTCCAAATCATTGCTCACTCCATCACAGCGTCATGAATCATTTTGTCCTTGCAAGCGCCAAATATGGAGGCAAATATGGTCCTGCCAGGACCATAAAGAGCTAATAATTTCTATACATGTTCACAGCTTTGTGATCACAGATTGCAGCACACATTCAAAAATAAGCGAAACAACTTTGAGCTGGCAGTGGATGCCCAAGAATAGCTATAAACAAGGTAAACTAAGAAAATGCAGGGCAGAGCTATAACAGGCTATCACCAGAGTGGAAAGCAGTGTGAAGATTTCACATATGGCTTATTTTGACTAACCCAAAATACCCACGCTGGAGAGAAAAAAGAAGTAACATGGGTACCAGATGTTCAGAATTACAAGCGGAATGTGTCCTGTTTGTAGTAGTAGTTTATAGTAGTAAACTTCTCTCATGTCTGACCCCCAAGCTGCTCTCTCCTCCTTTGCCTCTCCTGGGACAAGATTTACCTACAAGACCATCTTTAGGAAGGTCATAGATCTTCCACGTGTCTTTAATAAATGGTTTGTCTGAACTTTTTGGGTTTTTCCAAAAAACAGATCAATAATTTTTAATAAGACGGTTGTTCCAAATTGCCTCCTATCACTGTTCACTGATTATAAACCGTTGTATATTTTTGAATAATAATCTACAGCTGGTCATCATGGGGCAAGAGAAATACGTATTTGTATATATTTATATTTGCTGGTCAGAGGATGAATTGAAATTTATTTTGATAATCGTAGAGATGACAAACATTAGCTTCTTATTTTGGAACGTTTTTGTGATTTTCTTAGACAAATAAACACATATGATTGACAGGATAGCTATCAAATGAATAATTGACGAACACAATCATAAGCAGCAGCCCTAATTTCCTTTATCGTACACTCTTCTGTGAAGGTAAGGTAAAGAGTTAAGCGAAATAGTCACGACTTTTCTATGGTCGCACGCTTCGGGTTGTACCCCGGCCCCAAAGCCGCCTTTGGTTTCTCAGTCAGTGCACATGAAAGTAGACGCAGGCAGAGCAGGGTCTCCTTTTTGTACTAATTTAATTCTGATTTACTGGAAAACATGCAGACCAGATGTATGCACAGATACTCCTTTTAGTAATGAAAAAATAAAAATAGGAACATAATTGATTATAGTTAAAAAAAAGAAAGTATATTTCGCTAAAGACAAATTAATGACCAGAATCCCTCAACTCACCGAAAAGCTATTCTGAGCAATGAGGACACATCACGTACTGCTGTTTAATGATGTTCAACTGTCACCTGAAGCCTCGGGTACTATAAATAAATAGCAGTGTGAGCGACAGAGGGGCAAAAGGCGGAGGGAAAGTTTCCTTTCTGACCAGATTTGGGTAATTTGAGCCAAGTAACCCAATTTAGCTAATTTCATTTCACTTTCTCCCACAGTGATATTATCGCTCGCTTCCTGTGTTTAGAAGAAGCTAAAAGAAGCTAAAGGAGAGGGGGCAGGAGCCTTTTATAATTTCGAAATCACTGGAATGTTTTAAAGGGAAAATACTACAGCTATGCCAAAAATGTTTTGGCGCTCGTTGCCCACATATTCTCTCCTCCAGCATGGCCTTTCTTGTTTGACCTGAGACTGGCATGACAAAGGATTCAGTGTGGAGCTTTGTTTTGATTCGGTGCTGTGCCATTCCCATCCTTTGACATTTGAGCCAACTTTTTTCCTCTCACAGAAAACCGCTAACAATGGCTGGTGGGCAGGGTCAGTGTATGCCCTCTGGTGCTGTGTAAAGCAAAATCCAGCTGAACACAACACCGATACACTTCACAACCAGATGAACTAGTTCTATTGTCACTGCTATCTGACAAATCGTTAGGTCCCAAATGTGAGCAAAGGGTGGAGATTGCAAACACAGCCATTTTGATCTCAGTGCATTAAACTGTTAATTTACTGAGGTTAAATCAGTTAAATGGTAAAAAAAAAAAAAAAAGTGAAATGCAGACACCATAACACAGATGTGCAAAAGTTCTGTCTTTAAAACATTTCTTTTGGTTTTCTTTAGTGTACATGACTGTAAAGTGAACAAATAAAGACGGAAAACTCGATGGTGCAGAGCAGAGGGCAGCCGTGAGGGGATAAATTCTGAAACAGGCATTTCCGTCATTAACAAAGGATGACAGAGGTTTTAAAGCGTCAACAGTTGAAGTAGTTCATGGGGTCATGTTTCTGGTTAAGGAGAGTCCAGGAAGTCCTAAGCAGAGCGCTCAAGTCACACACAGACCCCCACAAGTGAGGGGATGTTTTGAAGAGCCCATGGACCTTTGAGAAATTAGAGTCGCCAGGGCAACTCCGTCCAGCCCTACGCTGGACAGCTTCCTAATCCAAATGATTTACAATCGGCCCGATGTTACGTTATTGACCTGCAAGTCCCACCAGAAGTCCCCAGAGATACCAGTCTGAAAGCAGGACAAGATGTTTCCTCCACGGCTTTTCTCAGTTTCTCTCACACTTTCAGTTGGGATAGCGCGTCACACCAGTGTGCACAAAACGAAAAGATTTTTAATTGGAGAGCTCTGCTTGTGGAATTTCCTCAACTTGTTTGTTCTTGCAGAGGACAACATGCTGCTCATAAGTTGTTCCCAGGTACGCAACAGACATTTACTCTGTAAGTCACTGGTGCTAAAAACATGGTGCAGGATAAACTGCTCTTCTTTTTTTTTGAGTTGTCTGATAATATGGATTTAAATTAGCAACCCTGCAGTTTGAGAGCAAGACTGCCAGCTCTCAGGCTTACTTGTGGTTCCTAGAGTTTCTAAAAGTAGAATGGGAGGCCAAGCCTTCAGCTATCAGGCCTCGGTCCTGTGGAACCAGCTCTTCAGGATTCAGGAGACAGACACCCTCTCTAGTTTTGAGATTAGCCCCAAAAATTTCCTCATTTTTAATAAAGGTTATAGTTAGGCTGGACCAGGTGGCCCTGAACCATCCTTTAGTTACACTGCTATAGGTTCAGACTGCTGCAAGACTTGATGTGATGGACTGAACACTTCTTCTCCACTCCCCACATGTTTATATATCATGGCAGCATGTCATTACATTTTTGTCATCTCTTTCCCTTAGTCTGTGTTTTGTCCTGTCTCCCTATGCTCTTTTTTTTCTTTTCGCTTCTCTTCTGTCTCTTCTCTTTCCCTTCACCCCCCAGCCAGTCGGGGCAGATGGTTGCACCTCCCTGACTGTGGTTCTGCTGGAGGTTTCTCCCTGTTAAAAGACAGTTTTACCTTTCTGTCTGTACTGTAGGGTCTTTATCTTATGGTGTAAAACACCCTGAGATGACTGTTGTTGTGATTTGGCGCTTTATAGTTTTTTAACTGAAATAAGTGACTTACTAAGAAGATACATTCAGTGTGATTCTTTCTTTTGTGGTCTGTCGGTGGGATGGAAATGCAGAGTCTGTGTCTTTTATCTGCTTTGATAGGTTTACACAGAGCAGACAGTTATCATCATCTCACAGGAAAATGAGTGGGTGGCTAAGGAGCTCACTGTCGTAGTTCAAACATGGAGGCCCAGACGGCCCTCGTTCCCCCCAACCTGTCTGTCTGGTCATCAGGGTGGGGTCCAGGAAAACGGGATCTGTGGCTTAACTCAATTGCTACCATAATCAGGGCCGACGACACACTGACCCTATTGCAGGACAAAGCAAGGACTTTTAAAAAATATGTCTCTGCATAACAGTTGTTTCACAACGGCCAGTCAATGACCTTCAACAGATTCTACTAAAACTAATCAGCTACTTACTCTTACTGTTCATGAAGCCATCGATCATTAAATCATGCACTTTACTTCATATGTGCATTCTTGTTGTCTTATTCTTCCGTTTTCTCTGTGCAAACTCTTGCTCCCAAGCAACACAGCTGTATATGAACAAGAGACATCCTTCAATAATCCAGTAACACAAGGAAGAAAATGAAACAGCCAATAAGACCTGGTCCTCATTATTAAAAGGTGCTGTGTGAGGAGGGTGGTAACAGGCAAACTACTGACTGTTACATCCAGCAAGGGGGCAAAGAAAGCACAATGAATAAAGAACCTGCCACAAGAGTGTTTCCCTTAAGCTTATTAAATGCATAGCTTAGATTTAAAGTGATACT